ATTATTCTCAAAAGTGTTATATTAAAAATTTACAGTGAGTACATTTTTAGGAAATTGCTGTAAATAATTTTTAGGATAATAAATATAGTGGTACATTTTGAAAATAAAATGATAAATGAGATCAATTATACATGATTAATTGTATTTTTTAGCTTTGGAATCTTTTTCCAAATTAATTTTATGATTGATATTAATTAATTTTGGTATTCAAATAAGGGATTGGCATTCCGTTATAAATAATAATCTAGTAGGGATTGTGCTTTAATAGTATACTAGGTGATTCTCATGTGCTCATGCACAATTATAAATATTTATAAAGTAAAGATATTATAATAATTGGCTGATATTTACTTTTAATTTTAAATCAATTGAGAATTATATGTATAATTTATATGTGTAACTTATACTAATAATATTATATTATTTTACTTATACATATGACTTTGGATATGTTATATCTACTCGGTTTGATTGTTTTATGCTCAGCTATCGATTTTGTTATCACTTGAGTATATTGGATTTCATCAATTTCTCCGAATTCAACTATAATATTTTTATTCTTAATATATTACAATTTTGATTAGTTTTCTTATTTTCACTTAGTTGGTTGTTGTCTAAGATATGTAAATGTATTTTAGTAAAATTATGTATTAATTAATAAATATCAATCTTAGAATGAAATTAAAAAACTGAAGTATTTGATTCAAAATTACATAAATGAAGATAACGATAATATTCTGCAGTCTCATGCATATATATAATTTTTTCAAAAGAACTAATTTGTAAAAACTGGTTAGTATTTTATTTATCTTATTAATATGTTTTGAGTCATTATGTAATTTCTATGTATAAAGATAAATAAATCATTATTATAAAATTATATACTCTTATTATAGATAGATATTTTATTTTGGATATAAGTCTGACTAGTCGAGTTACTTACGTTGTTGTGAGTATATTGAGTTACATATATTCTTACAAATTCAGACTGAAATATAATTATTTTTATTCTAATTAAATGAAATCAAATTAATTTTATTTTCCGCTTAAACGTGCATGTATTTCATAATATTTATCAAACTATATGTTGATATTTAAACATATTAAAAATAAACTAATTTTGGAAGCTCATGAATGCATATTAATATTTACAATAATTAAAAATATTAATAAATTTAAGAAAACTTATATCTTAGATTTATTGAAAAGTAAACTGAAAATTATTTTAAATAATCTTAAACTAAGAATTTAATTTTACTTGGGTATTTTGATTATGGCTATATTAATTTCCACATATATATAGAAAATATAAAATTAAAAAGAAAACTAAATATTAAGATTTTTTTATAATGATTAACATATATATCTTCGTCATTAAAAGTATATATTGTTAGGCGTTTTAAAAATAGTTCTTTAACTATTTGATCAAAATATGCGTAATATAAACAATATTTTTTGGGTTTTCTAATATCTCTTAAAAATAAGCACTAGAAAATTTTTGATTTTTTTTTTGAGAAATCATATTATATAAGTAAAATATAATTTACATTTTTTTGTGCTGTAATTGTAAGATATTGTAGTCAACTAAATATATGAAAAAATAAATAAAACATCTCAATAATATGAATTATAAACGATTTTTAGTCAATTAAATATATATCAGTTGATGTTAGTTAACTATTTTATGTAATCATCCAAGAAAATAAGTAGATATAAAGAAAATATTTTTGTTATTTTGAATAAGTATACATATATATTATACTGTTTAAAATTAAGTGTTAAAGGAAATAATATTTCTTTTTAATATCAAAATTATCTTCTTTATACAATCACATTATATACAAAATAATTTTATTTTCATCTAAGAAAATATAGATATAAAGAATGTATTGTTATTACTTTAAAATTTTATTTTATGTTATTTTAAAATATATTTTTAAAGGAATATTAATATTTTGTAAACTTTCCCTTTTAATGAAATCATATCATATCTAAATACTTTGCATTTTTAAGTTTAAGATCTTTTTTATTATTTTTCTTGTTTTTAAAAATTAAAAAAGAAACTAAAAAGTACTGTATTTAAATGTAATATTTTAATTTATTTTAAAATATATTTTTAAAGGAATATTAATATTTTGTAAACTTTCCCTTTTAATGAAATCATATCATATCTAAATACTTTGCATTTTTAAGTTTAATATCTTTTTTATTATTTCTCTTCTTTTTAAAAATTAAAAAGAAACTAAAAAGTAATAGCTGTATTTAAATGTAATATTTTAATTTATTAAATGTTCCTATGTAATTAACCATCGTAATAATTAACGTAAGCATGACGTGTAGTAAATTGAGTTCTCAAATGATATTATAGAGATATATAGATTACTTTCTTTAATATAGACTGGACAAAACCTCAGTTCAATAAAAAAAAAAGATAGGACAAAACCTAATACCTAATCTAATTAAAACGTAGAAAGCCCAAACAACAGTAACTAAAGCCTATGATAATTATTGAACAACATGTGAACTCTAACTCTAATGTGACAGCAGTGGAGATGTGATCTAGTGGTTAAGATGTGCTGCTTCAGAGTCTTCCAACGACAAAAAGATTCGACCTCAAACTTTGTTTCTCTACAGACATACCAGTACAAATATATACTCATCAAACCTCCAATCCAAATCTGTATTCATGCTATCATCTTCTCCAAATTAAGACATTTTTTTATCAGTTATGAGGTTTTCCAAAAGCACCATCTTCGTATATATCATAGATTGGATCTTCAAATTTCTCTGAATTCTTCACACAGATTTTCAGATGCAACAAAAGATTATGTATCTGTAAAAATAACATGTATTCCTGATGGCCACCAAGGAATTTACAAATGTCGTCATCGCTAAAGCCTACAGATTAGTCGGTTGATTTCGGTCGCGGGACACTGTGGTTAATTAAAAAAAATAACATGTACTCTCAAGAAAGGTGTTGTATGGAAACATAACTGAACTTTGATTAAGAAATTAAAGTGCCCATTCTGATACCAATTGGCGTAGCCAAAATTATATATAGCGCAAGTAACCTAATTTTTCTTAGAAAACCTAGGAGATATTTCCTTCTTGAGATTGTTGTGAGTCTAACTCTATCCAAAAATAAGGTAAAATAGAAGACTTTCTATTTGTATTTTATCTTTCTATTTGTATTTTATCTATTTTATTAAAACTGAACTGAAGTACAGAACAATACTTTTCTAAAGTTAAGTGTTTTTAATACTTTCATTTTCCTTTTCTAACACATTCTAAAACCAATTCATGTATTGTCTTTTCCATATAATTCTACATCATTTATTAAAGAATTACAAAACATAAATTACCAATTTTAAAATGTTTTATTATACTTGTACATTCATATTTTCACTTTTTCTTATTAATTCATTAATTATCTTTACCATAATAATTAAGCAGTATTTATTTTACATCATTACAATATTAATTCGACATGTTTAAATGAATTTGCTCGTGACAAGAATTCAAAATAGTTAACATAGAGTTATATTTATATGTTTACAGAATCAGTTATTCATGGAGATCTGGGTCTCCATTCATGTACGGATCGTTTTCTTTAGGTGTCAATTTTTTGGTTTTTTGAGATTAGCCCTGCTTGGGTATTATAAATTTATGGGTGGATTTTGAGTTGGGTCCTTCTGCATCTAGATGAGTTTGATTCTGATGTATAGAAACCTAAAATAATTCAAACAACCAATGCATCTGAAACGAGTTTTGATATTCATACCAAAATAACCATATTACTCGATTCGGTCCGGATATTTGAATAAAATTAGTTATATGGTTACATATTTAAAATCTAGTACTCTAATCTTGAAAAACAAATATCAACATGTAAAAATGTAAGAACCAATATCAGCGCGCCCGTGCGGAAACTGTAGTTAGACATTAAAACTGCATACAACAATACCTAATTACTTTCTTAAATAAAGACACAACATAACCTAAACCCTAATCGAATTAAAACGTAGAAATCCCAACAAATAGTAGTTAAAGCCATGATAATTACTCTCTTCATTCCATAATATAACATGTTTTAGAGAAGTTTTGATGTTCCAAAATATAAAAGATTTTGATAGTTTTAAGATACTTTAACTTTATTGAAAATTGATTGACCAATAATATTTTACTGTATTATTTATGATTAGATAACTCATTATTATTTTTTATTATTTATTTGTAGAGAGTAAGTTTTAGTTCTTGTATTTTTGGTAAAACATCCTAAACCGAGGGAGTATTGAACAACATGTGAACTCTAACTCTAATGTGACAGCATTGGAGATGTGATCTAAACGTTAAGATGCGCTGTATCACTTTCTAATGTGGGGGCTATACGATACTCCAAATTTCACTTAGTCCCATACCATGGACGGTTGGTGAGGAAGAAGTAGATTTCTTTGTATTTGTACGAACGTAATCCCTTGGCTCTTCTTGTGCGTAACCTGTTCAATCAATCAACATGCAACCCAAACATTCATATACTGCAAACTGACCAATTCAATGCATACCTCTGGAGTCTGGTCTAACATTCTTTTACTTGGATGTAGGCTTCAAATTAGGCTTGGATAGATGTAAATTAAGAAGAAGAAAATACTAACACCATGTTATACACTCTCTATACGCCCAATTGGTCAAATTTGCATTTTTTTTTACGAATAATTAGTTGCATAGCCTTTGGGATAGGCAAAATGGGAAAACACGCTCGCCTTGATTTCAGTGATCAAAGCATTTTATTTTTGGCGTCAGTGATCAAAGCATTTAAATCTTCTTTTAGTTAACAAAATGTCATTAAAGTTTTAAATATTGATTCAAGACTATATTCCATTTTTACATAATCAAAGTAATTCACCAACTCTACTCTGCTTTCCAATGCTTATAGTTTATGTATTCTAATTACCGATTATTTCCAATGTACAAAAAAATTTAAAATCACGAGAAAAAGCATGCAAAAAGTGTATGCGCCTCTAAATATTTCACGGACAATATTCCAAAATAGAAAAGCCTTGTTACTTGCCAAAAAAAAAAGAACTAGCAACAGAAAAAATGTTTAAAAAAAAATAAAAAGAAACAATATATCACTACATTATTATATAACTCGTACGTAGTTTATTACAATTTGGTTAAATACGTCATACATACATGATGATACCATATGAAACATCAAATATGTCTGGCCTTCTTAATCTTGTTACATAGAGAAGTTGAATGAAACATACAATCGACCTCTCTAGCAACATTCAGAATGATCATTCTCCTGCTTCTATACGAATTTCTAACCTTCAAACTTCTCGACGGGACTCCCTTAGGTTTCCTCGGCGCCGGTGGACAGATTTGTGGGATCGCCGGGAGAATTTGATCAAGACGTGTCGGAGTCTTACAGCAATCTTCTTCTTCTTCCTTCTTTAATTTTCCTCCTTCACGTGAGCAATTGGTTATGTCTTGAACTTTAGCTTCAAGATCTTGATCTGGTCGTAATTCTAGAGAGCTCCGGTCTGAAAACCCTAGAGAGGGTACACGAACGAACCCTAGTTCTGTTTCGCAGAGATTGTTTTGATCGGAGAGATGAATTCCAGCATCCGAGAAACCCATCTTTCAGAAAAAAAAAAACGTAGCTCAAACGTAAAGAAGGGAAGGTGACTCAATAGTTCTGATGAGAGAGAAAAGAAAGAGGCAGAGAAGAAGTTTATGGCTTTTAGTGGCTTAAATTGGTTTATATAATGGTAAGTGGTAACACTATGTACGTGTTGTTTTGAATTGTGTATTTTGTAAAAATAATTTTAATTGAGAACATTCGGGGTTTTAATTAATGTTTTGAAGGATCCGATGCAACAAATATACTTTATGTAAGCTTGCTTTTTAATAAAGTAAGGTTTTCCCCAATTTGGGTTAATCTCTATACCAGTCACATGTTTCTCGCATTTTAAGGCCACATTTTGCTTTAAGATTATTTAACTAAACCCAAATATTTACTAGGAAATAAAATAGTTATTGAAGTTTAAGTTATATAGAATGTTAGAACACATTTAACTTCTTCAACTGAAAAACCTTGTATATAAACAAACTCGTGTTCCTTCTAAATTTTCAAAAATCAAGTATCGTTAAATAAAAACCAAGCATTCTCATAGTGGATTAATCAAGTTGTTATTCCGTTAAATAAATTGAATTAGCAAAACATATATAATAATTATGTAAAGATATAAGAAATCTTGAAAGCGTATTGACATGGAAACGGGAAAAGGCCAGTTTTGTTGGTTGAAAAGAAAAAGGTCAATTACTTTCCTTTATTCATAAGCTTAAAGAAATTATTGAATTTAGCGTCCGAAGTAAGATAGGCTGTCTCTTTCATCTTATTCAAATTAGTTAAAAATCATCATTTTCTATAATACTTTCCCTATGATCCTAACTTTGATGCATGTGAACAGTGATATCACATGCCTTCTATGTTATCACACCCACCTATACATTATACACTCATGTACATCAACATTTAATATGATCGATCATACATCCATTACCTTTTGTGCGTATATCTAGTCTTAGATCGTCTAACTGACAACCTTTAACGAATCGTTATATACAGACTCTATGGCGATTAAATAACGATCCAACGACATTAAACTGCCCACCTAACTGACAAAAAATCTTAAATGTGTATGATACAATTTCATATTCTATTGACATTTCTCAACATATGTCAATGAAAATCAAGAAAGGCAGCGGAAGTCAACACTACTAATAGATAGTGTACATATGTTTTGTCGCTGTTATGTATAAACTAACAATACAACAAAAAAGGATGGCAAGCTACGCACAAAATATTGAAACACAAAACAAACACCTAAGAAATACCTTTAGCGTAGTGGCGATTTATTATACTACTTCGTAGAAAATTATTGTTTTCTTTTCCAGGTTTCGAAAGCCTCTACTTAAAAAAGAAGAAGAAGTAAATGGATCCAAGATTTCTTCACGTAGATAGAAACGTTTCTATCAAATCACGAGAGCATCTTGGTAATCCTAACCTGACAAAAATAGCTAAGTTATTATATAATAGATGACAAATTACTGTAAATAAACCATCTATATAAACAAACCAAGCCGGATGGTCAGTGACTAAGTGGTAGTTGGATAGGGACTTGGGAAATATGGATTGCATCTCTCTAAACTTAGTGCTTCAGATAATTTTCGCTAGGAACTAAGTCATCGTTTTGTTTGGGCCGTTTAAGTTCTTATAGGCTTACACTCAATGCTTAATTAATACGTGGTGCAGTTGTAGAAACTACTGGCAAAGAACTTGCTCATTGATGTGGTCAAGTGGTTGGCGAGCAGGCCCGGCCCATAGGGCAGGAAAATGAACCAACTGCTTAGGGTCTCGATCATTTTGAGGTTCTTTAGCTTAAGAAAAATAATCTAAAAAACTTTAAATTTTTTTATCCTAAAGTAAAAAGGCCCAAATTTTTTAATTTGAATAGGGCATGTATTAAGTTTGGGCCGGCCCTATTGGCGAGACTTAGGAATATGCTAAAACCTTTCTTTCGACTTCAAGTTATTAATTTGAAATATGTACAATAGAAAGTTTGACTTGAGTTTCGGTCCAAACAGTTTACTTCGTAGTCCGGTAATATGCAATCCGGTTATCGCTTGATATTAGTCTGAAAACATTTTAGACTCTTATCAGACATAATGGCAATTCTTTAGAGAGAAATCTACATTGTAACACTAAGTACCTTCTGATACATGTGGCTGACCAGGCCAAAGAGTATATGAAATAAGAGTCTGCTAATTCTTAAGAGTAGTTTACATTGAGTCCATAACTTCAGTTTTGTAAAGTTAGTGATCGGATACTCGATCAGTGCTAACCTAACAATATAAAACTTGGAATAAACAAATTGATTAGACGACAAAGAAGTCTCAATAGTTGCCCGTGCATTGAAATAAATAGAATGGTTAGAACTAATAGAAGTAGAAAACCAACACACTATAACCATATTTGTGTGACAAATTTTAAATGTATTACAGATATGAAATTTTAAATTTGCAACACTCGATTGGAAAGTTTTACTAGACAGTTTATTTTTGGTGAACTTAACAAATCAGTACAATCTCTTTCTTTTTAAAAGCAATGACAGGAAAATCAAGTGCCGATCACAGTACAATTGTTGTTGCTTATATTGCGTGCCCTTTACACAAACGTAACAAGAATGTGAGGGGTGGCAGCAAATGCGTTTGTTAGATTTGTTGCAGATCACATTTTTATCACTGTCTACCACCAAAAGTATATCACTTTTTCCATTACTATTTTTAAATTAAAGAGAATGTAGATCTAAAATTCTCGGGATTCTGTAACTAGGTATCTCAATTAGCAACTGAAGGTAAGCCGATATAATGTAACTTCTTGTTCAGATAAAGGGAATGAAAAGTTTATAATCTCATAGTTATCAACTTTTACCAGTAAGAACGGACAAATAAGTTAAGCACACAAACTCTCATGGAGCATGATTGAATCTTATCTCATGCTCAATCATTATGTTCCCCATCTTCTACTTTCTCCTTCTACCATTCTTGTTTCTTCCATTTTCTTCCTCACTGATCGATTTTAGTTTCAATTTCAGTGTAATTACAATCATTGACTATTAATAATGTAGTTTGGCGGAACATATGTCTCTATTGGACAGCAATAGATCATTACAAAATCTTGTCTTGTTCAAACATGATTTTCAAGGAACTTATTATGTGTTTAGAATAATGTTTTTAAGCACTAGTGAATATACGAAATTAGACAATTCACATCAAAACGCATATAAATGTTTTGATAGTTATATTTTTATTATATCCATTTCAAACCATGTATTCGTTCATTCTTTTTTTTTTGTGCGCTAGATGTATTCGTTCATTCTATAACAACTTTCAACACATACGATCTTATTGTCAACAACTATATTTCTGTACAAATGTTTTCTTTCTTATTACCCGTTGGATTGGCCTGAGCAGCCTTAAACGGAATACCAGATAACTGACTTTTCCGTTATTAGGACTCAATTTTAAACAATTCTTTCAAAAAGTTCCAATAAATCCATTTTCCTTCAGAATAACTGGCCTAAAATAAACAGTAACTATGCTTATGTTAGCTTACACCAGTATTCAAAATCCAAACTCAAGTTGTTTTATAGTATTAATTTTCTTTTAAATGGAAAAAATGCTTAAAATAAGAGAAAACAACAAATACAATAAGGGGGAATTCTAATTTTACCAGATATTTGATACTAATTTTCAAATTTATTTTAAAAGACTCATTTTCATAAATATATGAAGTTTGTGATGAAAAAAATATTAAACTATCCTTCCTAAATCCTTTGCAAATACTTAAGAATTATTTATAAAAATTGGGCTGACTGCCTAAAATCTCCTGTAAACTCATATACCCTACTTATCCCCTTTCCTAAACTTCTTAACTCTTGACCAATCCACCCAGAAATATGAATTCTCTTCATATCTCCCCCTAAAATTTTTTAATCCTCCTCCCTAATCAATTTCGAAATCAAAGTTAGGGAACTATTAATCGCGTATTGTAGATTGTGATTGCCCATTTAAAAAAAGGTATGACCCTGAATTAAAAAATCTCCACCCTAGTTAATTAAAAATGAAACTGAATTGGGGATAATTAAAATTAGGATTTCAGCTTTATTGTTAACTCAGAAAAGCAGATACTACGAAGAACAAAGAGAGAGAGACGACGAGGAATAGAGAGAGACGGCAACGGGAACAGACGGAGACGATGACGGGAATAGAGAGAGACGACGAGGACGAGGAACATAGAGAGAGAGAGAGCGAGCGACGAGGAACAATGAGAGACGACAAGGAACTGTGAGAGAGACTACGAGGAAGAGGAACAGAGAGAGAGAAAGAGAGAAACTTCTCCATTGATCATGAACAACTCAGCCTCATCTTCTTCACGACAAGCAATGGGAGGCGTACCAACACATTGTTGGTGTGGTAAGAATATGGCTACCTTTGTCTCAAAGACCAAAAAGAACCCATATAGGAGGTTTTATAGGTGTGAGATTGCATTTCAGGTATGTGATTGTACTTGTATCACCATGATTGTATGTAATTTTACTGCTTTCAAATAGAGAATCATGTTGTTTGTGTTTGATAATAGAAAAAGATGGAGAGGTATCTTTTCAAATGGGTTGATGAAGCAGTGATAGATGAGATAGGTAAGGTGGATGCAAAACATGATGAACTTGTGATTGATGTGAAGGATCTGCAACAGAGTATGATGGAGCGCTTTAAGCTTCAAGAAACAAGACTTGAAAAGGTGGAAAAGGAAGCTATGCGAATTAAAATTAATGAAGAGATGATTGAAAGCTATGATAGGATATGGTTCTTTGGAAAGGGGCTTAGTAAATGGGATGTTGATGCTCTTTGTGTAATGAATATCTCTTATGTTTTTAGACTTAATGTAAGACTCTTATCTTATGTTTTCAATGTCGAGATTATTATGGTCTTTATGCTTGGTTATGTTCTTTATGCTTGGTTATGCTTGAGTTTAAAACATGAGTTTGACTTGTTTGTGTTCAAAAATATTAAAAGTCAAAGGACATATGTATACATTGACTCCAAAAGAGAGAATTCCCAAAAAAAACAAAACAAATTTTAAACCACAACAAAAGACAC